CAGGCACCCCTGGGACTCCTTTCTTAAATATCTTTCAGGCTATTAGCAGCTTTTTGAAATTTTTTTGATTACTTCCATTAATGCTTTTCTTTGCCTGCCCCTGCCCTCCCCCCCAGCCCCTGCCACATTTCTTGTATCTGATCTTGAGCCATTTCTTAAATGACTGGTGATCCTTGACTGTTTCTCATGTTTACAAATGACATGTAAAAGCTGATTAGGAGCTCCACATGAGTAGAGCTTATTGACCTGCAGACTTGAATTTTGGGTGAGCATCAGGAACTGCTTAGTTCTTTGGGCTCCCCAAACAATAGTATGTTCATATCCATTCTCACATTGTAAGTTTCTGCAGAGAATTCCCTGTGCCCTGCTTGGGGGCAAAAGCTTGCTGCGCGGGTTCCGCCTAGGACAAGGAGTGGCCTGAGCACCCAGTGTCCAACCGTTCTTTCTGCAGACTTAATAAAGCCAGAAATCAGGCTTTCTAGATAATGAGTCATTATTATGTAATTTTACTGGTTATGAATTGTGAGATAATTAACTTACCTAAATTTTTTTGAAAGTTGTCCTGTGTTTTTAGTACGTATTCATGGCTTGGTCAACAATATTTACTGCATTATGGAAGTAATAAAACTTCACTTTTACAATAAATATCCAACATATGCTGCCTTTCCCTGCAAATCAGTTCTAAGAGACTTCCAGGGGCATGAGTGCTCTGAGTGGCCATCTCCAGCCTAAATCCTATTCAAGGTCACTGCCCACACCTCCCTGTGACCACTCATTTTCCTGCTTGATTGAGCTGCTCTTACTTCCAAGAGTAAACAAGACCCTTTCCAGCCTTTCCATTCTACATTCTTGCTTGTGATGGTTAATTTCATGTGTCAACCTGACTGGGCTATAGAGTGTCCAGACATTTGGCCAAACACGATTCTGGATGAGATTAACATTTGCATCAGTAAACTGAGTAAAGCTATTGCCCTCTCCAATGTCAATGGGACCCATCCAATCAGTTGAAGTCCTGAATAGAACAGAAGGGCCTGAATAGAAGGAAAGGATGGAATTCCTGCTGCCCAAGTACCTCTGAGCTGGATCATTGTTTTTTTCCTCCTTGGGACTCAAACTGAAACATCAGCTTTTCCTGGGTCTCCAGCCTCCTGGCTTTTGCATTAGTGATACCACTGGCCCTCTTGATTCTCGGGCCTTTGGACTTAATGGGTCTCCAGCTTGCTGCCTCCAGATTTCAAGACTCACCATCCTTCATCATTATGATCCAATTCCTTATAACAAATCAATCTTGGGGCCCCTGGGTGGCTCAGTCATTGGGTGTTTGCCTTCGGCTCAGGTCATGGTCCCAGGGTCCTGGGATCGAGTCCCACATTGGGCTCTCTGCTTGGCAGGGAGCCTGCTTCTCCCTCTCCCATTCCCCCTGCTTGTGTTTCCTCTCTTGCTGTGTCTGTCTTTGTCAAATAAATAGATAAAATCTTAAAAAAAAAAACAAAAAGTCTCAGTCTCTCTTTCTCACACACATGTAGAAATTGGTTCTGTTTCTCTGAAGGATGTGAGTACATACCTCAAGGGGGCGAAAATGGATTCTGAGAGGGAGAAACAAATACTACAATAATTTATGGCCCTCCAAAGCTCAGCCTTACTAGACAAAATCTTATACCTATTTAATTTTTGTCCCTTAATTTCTTATGGGGGAGCTAATGAAATGTCATCACTTGTTGCCAGAAGCACCCTCTCCATTCCCTACAAGGTTGTCACTAGTGTCCTGGATTCCAGTCTTGCTCCCCTGACATCTATTCTCCACACAACAGCCATAGTTCTCTCAAAAATATACATCCTAGGGGCACCTGGGTGGCTCAGTGGGTTAAAGCCTCTGCCTTCGGCCCAGGTCATGATCCTAGGGTCCTGGAATTGAGCCCCGCGTTGGGCTCTCTGCTCAGGGGGGAGCCTGCTTCCCTTCCTCTTTCTCTGCCTGCTTCTCTGCCTACTTGTGATCTCTGTCTGTCAAATAAGTAAATATAATCTTTAAAAATATATATATATCCTAGGCGCACCTGGGTGGCTCAGTGGGTTAAGCCTCTGCCTTCAGCTCAGGCTATGATCTCCGGGTCCTGGGACCAAGTCTCGCACTGGGCTCTCTGCTCAGCGTGGAGCCTGCTTCCTCCCTCTCTCTGACTGCCTCTTTGCCTACTTGTGATCTCTCTCTGTCTCTCTGTCAAATAAATACATATAATCTTTAAAATCTTTAAAACAGATATACATCCTGCCTTGACACTGTTCAGAACCTTCCATGGCTCCCAGCTGCATTTCAAATAAAACCCACAGCTTTTGCCATTTTCACTTGCTCTAGCCGCAGTGGCTTTTGTAGTTTCCTGGAACATGTGGGGCTTTTCTCTGCTCCAGAATCCTGCATTGCTTGAAGTCCTTTGTTCTGTGAGTGACTGGCTCTGGTTCAGTTCATTTCCTCACAGAGGTTTCCCCTGCCCCTGGTCCTCAGAGGAACTCCCAGTTGTATCCCCCTGTGCCCAGCCAGAACCCAAAAGTCAAACCAGAGCCACACCTGAGCTGGAACTGGCCAGACTTATGACTGTCAGGATGACTGTGGGCAAATTCCTTAACGTTGATGAACTTCAGTTTCTCATCCATAATATAGGGCTAATGGTGCCTATCTCAACAGTGGTTATGTGGATTAGATGAGATGTACAGCAGCAGGCAGAATGGCTGGTACATAATTGCTTGACGAATGGTGATGATTATGTCATCCATTCATCCAGCAAAATACTGGATTGGTGTGTGCCCAGGCCTTGCTTATCAGGGTCTGGGACTCAGCATGAGGCAGGCACTCCCATGCCCTCCAGTCCCCCAAAACCTCTCTGGGGATACTGGTGAATACCAGGAATCCCAATTCAGTGTCAGTGTGCTAGAACAAGGGAAAGCATAGGTGCTGTGGGAGAAGTGGGTGTCTGATCCAGCCCCTGTGGGGTGGGGAACAGTCCAAGTCTTTGCCTACCTGGGGGGGGGTGCCAGGCAGGAGCCCCTATCCACTCTCTCAACCACCACCTGCAGGGCAGAGTCATCCAAAACCCTCTGGGAGGGGTGAGGGGTCTTTATTCCGCTGTTAAGTAGAGTTCCTGAAGGCCTTTAAGAGAGGGTTGATTTGATCATAACTCATTCTGGTTTTGTCATGAAGGATGGGTCAGAGAATTAGAAGCCCGTGGCTGCAGCTGGGGCAAAGGTGAGGCTCCGCAATGAGATATGGCGAGGCCCACAGCTAACGGTATCTCGGCTCTGTAACCACCCTTAGAACCAGAGGGGAAAAGATGTCTTTGCTGTCTCAGAGACTGATAAGAGGAACGCTCGGGAACGCAGGGCCTCGGGAAGGGGCCCTTTTTGTCCTAAGGGCAGAACTGTACCTGGGGCTGCCTGGTGAGGGGCAAGGCGGCCCAGGGAGGAGAGGGTCCTGGCGGAGAGCTCAGATTTCTGACCCGGGCATCTGAGGCCCCGCGGCGCAGAGAGCACGCGAAGGCCCGGGAGGCCGGGTGCACAGCCCGTTAGGTCGTGAGACATGTCGGGACCATTCGGAACCTTGTACCTGAGCAGCGGCTAAACGCTGATGTAGGGAGAGGGCTGGCTCGGTAAGGGAGCCCGCAGGCCCAGGGCATGTAGGTTAACCGACAGGTGTGCGGGGCCGGGTCCCAGCGTAGCCACGACTGCTCCGTGCAGGCTGTTCCATCTCCCAGGTTGGATCCGGCCCGGCGGCGGCAGCGCTCTCCGGCACCGCCAGGCCCGGCGTCCCCGGAACCCCACCCAAGCCCACGAGGCAGGTTGTTCTTATGCCCAGCGAGTCACCAGGACTCGAGCTAGGGGACCGCCCCAAGGTCACAGCCTGCACGTGGAGGAGGTGCACTTGAACCCAGGGCCCCACCAAGGTCACCGGGCCACTCCCGGCGGGCCAGAGCCCGGCTGCCAGCCCGGTGCATCCCCCGGGCCGGGCCGGCCTGCAGCACTCTGGGGGTGGGGGGCGGGGCGCGGGGCGCCCGGGCGTGTGCGTGCCTGTCAAAGAGGCGGAACTCCTAGCCTCCTGTCCTGTAGTTCCTCCACTGCGGGCGACAGAGCCTCGCGCCTACCCGGCCCTTCCGTCCAACTACAATTCCCAGAAGGCTGAGCGGCGCGGGCGTGACCAGGGGGTGCGGAGAGCGCGGGTGTCGTCACCGGCTCAGCCAGCTCCCCCCACCCCGGCCCAGCCCCTCGCGGCGTCCGGGCGAGCGGCTGCGCGCAGCCTGACGGGAATCGTGGTCATCCCGCCTTGTACCCCCAGTGTTGACGGGGGCGCGTGGACTCCAACTCCCGGCGTGCCCTGCGCGTCGGCCCTCGTTAACGGCGGGAGGGGGCGGGCGAGGCGGAGGGGGAGCGGCGTTCGGGAGGGCGGGGTAAGGGGGGGGGGGGGGGCGGAGGGCGCCCACACCCCTCCCCCTCCCCGCCGCTCCTTCCCCCTCCCCCGACGTAAACTGGGATCCCTTTCCCCTTGTGTCCGCCATATTGGACTCTAACTCTGGTCAGCGGCGGCGCCGGGCCCGGTGGACTCGCCGTTCTCCCGCCCAGCGGCCTCCCCGCAGCTCCCGCCCGCCCGGCCCTCCCCGCCCGGAGGCGACCCCGCGCAGCGCCCCCCGCCCTCGGCCGGCCGGAGCGCCCTGCCGCCGCCTCAGCCTCCCCGCCTTCCCCGCCCTCCGCCGCCGCCCGCGGCCCCGCGCCCGCTCCGCGCCCTCTCCCCGCCCGCCCGCCCGCCCGCCATGAGCCCGGCCGACGCCAAGCGCGGGGCCAAGCGCCGGAAGAACAAGCGGGGGCGGCGGCGGCGGCTCGGGCGGGGGCAACGGCGGCGCGGGCGGCGGCAAGGGCGGCCCGGCGGCGGCGCTGCGCGGCTCCCAGGCCGCGGGCCTGGCGGCCCCGGGCGGCACGGCGGCGGCCAACGGGCCCCTCGGTTCGGGCGCGGGCGTGGGCGGCGCCGCCCCCGGAGGCTACTTCGAGGTAAGCGGCGGCGCGGCGGGGGCGGGGGGGGGCGGGGGGCGGGCGAACGCGGGCGGGCCTCCCGCCGGGGCCGGGCTCCGCGCGGGTAACGGGTGGCCGGGGAGCCGGGGCGCGGGCGGCTTGCGCCGTGACAGCCCTTCCGCGGGGACGGCGAGCGCGGGGCGGCGGGCTGCCAGTGCCGGGTGCCGGCATCTCCTGGGTGCGGCGCGCCGCGCTGCCTGTGCCGCTGCCCACCTGCGCGTCGCTGTCACGGACCCGGGGGCGGTGCCTTCTCGCCCCGCGCGGAGCTCGTCCTTGAGATTGCTCGCGTGCAATTCCAGAGTAATTAGGAATCAGGTGGCGAGCGGGGCTTCCCTGCGTGGTCGGGAGTTCTCTCCGCCGTTGTCTTGCCGTGCCGCCCAGAATTCTCCATCCCGTGCGAGAGGCGACCCAGCAGCGCCCGCCGGGAACTTTTCTTTCTCTGCTCCGATGTGATCATCGGGGAGCCGCCTGACAGCCTTCCGGAGGCCTGTTTCTGTGCCTCCAGCTTCTCAAAAACTTCCAGGGGCAGTTGGTGGTCTGGTTACTCAGGAGTGTATGTAGTGTTGGAACTCAGGGCATCGGAAAAGTACTTTCTCCTGTATTGTCCATGGGAGCAGCTAGCACACGTTGTGGGTTGCTGCACCTTTGTTCCGCGGTGGGTCACAGCACTTGAGAAGACACAAGGTGGTACGAGGGTGTGCAGGTGACAGCCATTTCCAGTGGTTCCAGTGGTTCCAGTGGCGACTCTTAAGATAATGGACTTCTCCAAAGTTGAGTGGTTAGAACTGTTAACTTGTTTTAAAGACGTTTGTAGTGGGAAAAAAGAGCCTCATCGGTATTGGTGTGCCACATTGTGATACAGATTGTTTTATGCAAGATACTAAATATCGTGTTGGAATGGCACGGAGTGAGAGCAGAAAAGAGAAATGATTGCGTATGGCGTGGCTTTGTCATGCTTTTGCATTAAGTGAATATACAATAATGTATGTGTACTTTATTTTCCGCTTAAAGGGTTTCCAGCCTTTTCTGTTGTGGAGTAAGTGCAGTTATTGCATCTTTCTCTAGATGATATTGTTACCTTTGTTTGGGATCCTGGAACACAGCCCTGGACTTCAGCCTCCAGAGGCTGCCCCTTTCCAATACTCTGGAGAGAGAAACAGGTACAGGGGTTGGGAGCAAGGATGAGGTTTGGGCATTTGGACCTTTGGGCTATAAATTAAGGGCCATGTGTGCTGCTCCTGGGGTGATGAGGGTAGGAGGTCTGCCCATGCAAATCCTTTATGAAAATGTTGATAATATTTGCTGTAGCTTGGTGTATAATATACCATTTCTTTCTTTCTTTTTTTTTTTTAAAGATTTTATTTATTTATTTGACAGAGAGAGATCACAAGTAGACAGAGAGGCAGGCAGAGAGAGAGAGGGAAGCAGGCTCCCTGCTGAGCAGAGAGCCCGATGCGGGACTCGATCCCAGGACCCTGAGACCATGACCTGAGCGGAAGGCAGCAGCTTAATCCACTGAGCCACCCAGGCACCCTAATATACCATTTCTGTCAATTCAGTAAAAACAAGTTTGTGGTACTGTTGTTTTAGGTTTCAATAAATTCCATTTACTTTGCAGTATTTAGCTAAAGTAGTTTTCCTTTAGTTTATTATTCTGATCACATTAGTCAAACTCATGTAACCATCTATCAAGTATTATTATTATTATTTTATTTTTTAGAGAGAGAAAGGGGGAAAGTGCTTGCAAGTGGGAGTGGGGGAGAGAGACACCTAAGCAGGCTCCATGCCCAGTGGGAGCCTGTTGCCCATGAGATCATGACCTGAACTGAAACCAAGAGTCAGTCTCTTAACTGGTTCACCCAGGCGCTCCTATCTAGTAAGATTTTTGACAGGACTATCTTATTTTGTTAAACTTACGACAAGATTTTTGACATGACCCTGTAAGAAATAAGATATATTGAGACCTGTAGTGCGTGCTTCCATTTATACAACAAAAGTTTTACAAAATGTGGGGCGCCTGGGTGGCTCAGTGGGTTAGGCCGCTGCCTTGGGCTCAGGTCATGATCTCAGGGTCCTGGGATTGAGTCCCGCATCGGGCTCTCTGCTCAGCGGGGAGTCTGCTTCCGTCTCTCTCTCTGCCTGCCTCTCTGTCTACTTGTGATCTTTCTCTGTCAAATAAATAAATAAAATCTTTAAAAAAAAAAAAAGTTTTACAAAATGATATTCTGATGGCTTTTTTGTCTTTTTTATTTTATTCCATTTCATTAATAAAGTGATTGTAGTACACAGAATTACTTTACTGTGTACCATTGATTTGTGACCTGCACCTTGAGAAACATTCTATTTTACTGTATTTTAAAGTTTTAAACTTTTATCTTGAGCTCTGAAATTGCTTTTTTATTTTTTTTAGATTTTATTTATTTTTTTGACAGACAGACACAGCGAGAGAGGGAACATAAGCAGGGGGAGCCGGAGTGGGAGAGGGAGAAGCAGGCTTCCCGTGGAGCAGAAGCCCGATGTAGCGCTCAAGCCCAGAACCCTGGGATCCTGACCTGAGCCGAAGGCAGACACTTAACGACTGAGCCACCCAGGCGCCCATTAACTTTAAAATTTCTTCGCAAGTTTTTTTTTCCAAGAAAAAATTTTTTTTAAGATTTATTTATTTGAGGGGCACCTGGGTGTCTCAGTGGGTTAAAGCCTCTGCCTTCAGCTCAGGTCATGATCCCAGCGTCCTGGGATTGAGCCCCGCATCGGGCTCTCTGCTCCACGGGGAGCCTGCTTCCTCCTCTCTCTCTGCCTGTCTCTCCGCCTACTTGTGATCTCCCTCTGTCAAATAAATAAATAAAATCTTAAAAAAAAAAAGATTTATTTATTTGACAGAGAAAAATGTGAGGAAGGGAAGAGGCAGAGGGAGAGGAGAGGGAGAAGCAGACTCCCCACTGAGCAGGGTGCCTGGCGTGGGGCTCGATCCCAGAATCCTGGAATCACAACCTGGGCCGAAGGCAAATGGTCAACCAACTGAGCCACCCAGGCCCTCCTCAGAAATATTTTTAATGACTTTATTTATTTGACAGTGAGCACACAAGCAGGGGGAGCAGCAGGCAAAGGGAGAAGCAGGCTCCCTGCAGAGCAGGGAGCCCAATGTGGGACTTGATTCCAGAACCCTGGAATCATGACCTAGGCTGAAGGCAGATGCTTAACTGACTGAGTCATCCAGGTGCCCCTCTTTGCAAGTTTTTTTTTTTTTTTTTAAATCTTATTTATTTATTTGACAGAGATTGTAAGTAGGCAGAGAGGCAGGCAGAGAGAGAGGGGGAGGGAGGCTCCTTGCTGAGCAGAGAGCCCGATGTGGGGCTCGATCCCAGGACCCTGGGATCATGACCGGAGCTGAAGGCAGTCTTAACCCACTGAGCCACCCAGGCGCCCCGGTGCAAATGTTTTTAATGGTTTGCGAAAGATACCCATGGTGGCAGGGATAAAAGTGTTTTTGACATTGATCACAAAAATTCTAACTGTAATTCTGAAGCCTCTGAATTATTTCCCCATAGATGATGACCTCTTTGTGGGAACCTTGTCTGGTGCAGAAGAGGCACCCAAAACAGTGTTTGTCAGCAAGTAATAGGGAGTGGGTACCAGCCCTCCATTTCCGGGAGAAGCTTATGATTCCTTCTAGGGGAGCATCTTCCCATTCTATGTAGGGTCACCAGAGCAGAAGTTGCTTGAGAGAAAAGTAAGAGTGGAAGGACTGTCTTGATTCTCAGGTGGGGTCCCGTGTGCTGGGCACAGCCCTGATTGTTAGTCCTAGGACCACCTTCATCAAGGCAAAGAGGGCTTCTCCGCATGTGAGTAGTTTGTACATAGAAACAATGGCTCAGCGGTAAGTAGGAAAACATAATGTAGTTTATGGAGACTTTTGCCCACCCAGACTAGGGTATACAAATTTGATAGGCTCTGTGCACTCAGGCAAGGTGTCAAACCTCAAACTGCCTTGGCGTCCTAAGTGATATGGCACCTAGCTCTTAGGATTATTGTAAGAATTAAACAAGTCAACAGTGTCTGGTGACACAAAGCGCTATGTGTGCACATGGTCATTATTTACCAGGAGGCTGGGTTGGACTTTATTAGGGACTTTGCCACAGGATGCTTGCTTACTATTGTTGAAGCTTTTTCCACTTGTGGAATGGGAAAGCCGTATACAGTTAAGAACAGTGGACACAGCTGCGTCTTGGACAAGGCCTTATTCTGATAGCCGTGTTTGGTGGTCTGCTCTGATGTGACAATAAAGGATTTGCCCTGAAATGGAAAGTTGGTATGTGAAGGGTATCGTGACTATATCTTATTATTTTGCATTTTTCTGTTTTTAAAAAGATTTTATTTTTTAGAGAGAGAGAGAGTATGCAAGTGAGTAAGAGCATGAGTAGGGAGGGGGCAGAGGGGCAGAGGGAGAGGGAAAAGCAGACTCCCCACTGAATAGGGAGCCTGATATGGGGCTCGGTCCGAGGACCCTGGGATCATGACCTGAGCCAATGGCAGGTGCTTAATTGATTGAGCCACACAGGCACCCCTGCATTTCTATTTTATTTTATTTTTTAAAAGATTTTACTTATTTATTTGAGAGATCAAGAGACAGCACAAGCCAGCAGGGGCAGTGAGAGAGGTAGAGGGAGAGGCAGAGGGAAAAGCAGGCTCCCTGATGAGCAGGGAGTCCTTTGTGGGGCTTGATCCCAGGACCTTGGTATCATGAACTGAGCCAAAGGCAGATGCTTAATTGACTGAGCTACTCAGGTGTCCCTGCATGCATGCATGCATTCATTCATTCATTCGTTCATTTCTCTCTCTTTCTTTCTGAAGATTTTATTTTTTCATTTGTCAGAGGGAGAGCACACGCACGCACGCGCATGCACGCAGAAGCAGGGAGTAGCAGAGGGGGAAGCAGGCTCCCTGCTGAGAAAGGAGCCTGATGTGGAACTTGATCCCCA